GGCAGTCACTGGACACTGCTGGGGGGGAGAGGGGACATGTGACAACACCACAAAGGGTACTTGGGTCATTACCAGGGGTAGTAAGGGCCAATTGGAAGCCCAAACTTCACTTGCACGCAGCCTACTTATGTAGTTAATCCTCACTGGTATCCTACATTCTTTTTTTTTTTTTTTGAGTTGGAGTCTCACTCTGTCGCCCAGACTGGAGTGCAGTGGCCGCTCCTGGCCACCGCAGCTTCGACCTGCTGGGCTCCAGCGATGCTTCCGCCTCAGCCTTCCCAGTAGCCGGAATTACAGACATGCGCTTCCACGCCCGGCTAATTTTTTTATTTATTGTAGAGATGGGGTCTTGCCTGCCCAGGTGGGTCTACTTACCTCAGCCTCCCAAAGGCGCAGGATTACAGGCTGAGCCACTGAGCCTGGCTCCTACATTCTTATAAATAAATAAATAAATAAAACTTTATAGACACTTAAAAAAAAAAAAAAAGGAAAAGAAATATGATAGCTCCATGAGACTAAGAAGGCCATCTGCCATCTCCTCCAGGAAGCAGCAGAGGACTACGACTCAGGATTGCACATAAGAATTCTGGGTAGGGCCAGGTTTGGTGGCTTGGCTTCTCAGGACTTTGGGAGGCTGAGGTAAGTGGATGGCCTGAGCCTGTGGGTTCGAGACCAGCTTCGGCAACTTGGTGAGACCTCGTCTCTACAAAAAATCAAAAATTAGCCAGGTGTGATGGCGCACGCCTGTAGTTCCGGCTATTTGGAAGGCTAAGGTGAAAGGATTGCCGGAGTCCAGCAGGTTGGCGCTAGGGTGGCCATGAGTATGCCACTGCACTCCAGCCTAGGCAATGGAGTGAGATGCCCAACTCAAAAAAAAAAAAAAAATTGGGGGCAGATGACAGCTCAGGTTTTTCAGCCAGGAAGAGGACATGCCCGATGTGTGTTGGGAGACCTGGGCACTGCACAGCCTCACACACAGTCCCTGGCTCCTGGCCATGCAATGAGCATCACCATGCCCAGGGGCTGCTCAAACAGATGGCAACCCAAGCTCAGAGAGCTTTGGAGGCAGTGTCTCCTGCTACGGGCCTGAAACGACAAAAACTGGACTAGACAGAGGTTTATTTGTGCAACCTTATTTTTTGCCCTAAATATTCACAGGTCACAAAGCTGCCTGTAGGCATTAAACCCAGAATTAAGATATCACAGGCTGGGTGTGGTGGCTCACGCCTATAATCTCAACAATTTGGGAGACTGAGGCAAGATGATCGCTTGAGCCAAGGAGTTTTAGACCAGCCTAGGCAACACAGCAAGACCTCACTTCTGCAAAAAACTAAAAATAAAAAAAAATCATCCGGGTATGGTGGCATGTGCCTGTAGTTCCAGCTACCTGGGAAGCTGAGGTGGAGGGATCACTTGAGCCCAGGAGGTCAAAGCTGCAGTAAGCTGTGATCATGCCACTGCACTCCAGCCTGGACAACAGAGTGAGATCCTGACTCAAAAAAAAAAAACAAAAACAAAACCAATTAACTGACATCTAAATGCTCCACTGATTGACTAAAACAGTAGCAAGACAGGATGAAGTATTTCCAAACTCAGTCTCTAAGCATCAGAGTGCCACTGTGTTGAACAAAATCCATTGAAAGGGCCAAGAATTCCATTCCTCCTAGAGAAGAACAGGGAATGGTTCTATGGGAGCCAGGTGGGTGGGAATCCAGCCACAGGACCCCTACAACCATCCCTTCCACACTCCATGACCCAGGGGTACAAAGGAAAAATTCCACAGCGGGAGGCACGAAAAGAAAAGAGTTGGCTGGAATTATATAACCTCAGGAGCCTCAATCAATCCGCCCTCTCAAAGAAACCAGAGCCATGTCGACAACGACAATCTGGTTCAGCCGTGAGCTAAGTGTACCTTGAACCTGATCGGGGCCAGGCAGGCACAGGTGGGAGGGTCACCTCCATGCTGGACTAGGGTCTGGCCATGCCCTACCCTCTGCCTGATGTTCCCACCCCGTCCTCTGCCTTCTGGTGCACAGTGACTCAAGTTCTCACGCTGCCTCAGGAACCTCACTTTCCCTTTGGCTTTCTTGTTAGCGTAGGGTTAAATGCCTATTCATTAGGAGATGAGATGAGCAAAAGTCCTGGAATACTTCTCACGTACACACCAAGAATCTAGGTCATCATCTACGCACCTCTTCTAATTTGGGACACGTTACCCAGGATGCAGAATCCTGGGGCATTTCTGCCCGCAAACCATCCACAGCTTCCCATCTCCTGTGCACACGGAAAGGCAGGGGAGCAGAAATAGATATGTTACCCACTTCCTGATTAATGCATGCAGGACATTTTCACTCTGTGTAATTAACAGCTCTAAAACCAGTGTATGACTCAATTTAACACAGTCTCACTTAGAACCCAAGGAGGCACACAGCAATTGCTGACATGCCTGCTCTCCTGTGACGCTTCCAAGGCACTTAACCAAAACCCAAGGCACCGGGCTACCCAACAGTATGAAAACCTTTTCTTTTACTTCCTCCCTACCTTCAGATCAATTTAATCATCGGCAAAACAGCAAAGTAGAACCACAGCCTAAATTATGGAAGTAAGACGCCTGCTCTTTTAAAGTTTCAACTTTTGACCTTCACATTCAAACTGCAATACCCAGCACAAGAAAAGAAATTATCAGTTATGATCCCATGTTTGTAGGGAAGAGTATGATTACAGAGGAATTTACAGGAAATCAAAAAGGCACTGCTCGAGAGAATGGAAAACAATAAAACAGTCACAGAAAGGAAATGAATGACAGCCAAACAAAAATGAGAAAGCGAGCTTTCCCGCACTAGGAGAGGCTGCTTGCTACCTCCCAATCAGATAGACTGGGGGAGGAACACCAAGTCTCCAGCTAGACTGCTAACAGAAGCCGGGGTGCGCACGGGTATCGAGGAAACCGAGCCACACACCTCCTGGTCCCCCAACCTGCTCCCCCTGGCCTTGGTACTAGGCCCATTTTGAGGGCTCTGAGCACCCTGTACATCCAGTGGGGTCACAAGTGAGCTGGGAGGAAGTCTGACCCTCAAGCAGGCCCTGACTCAAGGGTGCTCCTCAGAGCTTCAAGTGCAGCACAAGATATGGGAACAGCAGCCAGAGCCCAAGCGACTTTTTCTTGGGCAAGCCACTAACCTCTCTGTGCCTTAGTTTCCTGATCTGCAGCATGGAGATAACTAGAATATCTTCCTAATATACCATAAATAAAATACATCTTCATCAAGTGCTTAGCATGAAACCTTACACAGAGAGTCTCAACAGGTGACAGTATTAATAAGTGCCAGCATCTGACCTAGGCTCTCATTCAATCCCTGAGTCATCCACCCACTTTGCAGGTGAGCAAGCCAAGGCTGGGTGAATCTTCACACCCATACCATGAATTAGATATTATTGCAACTCCATTTTACTGGTCAAGAAACTGAGGTTTAGAAAAGTTAAGTGACTTCCCGAGTGGGGCAGGCTGGGGTTAGAACTCAGATGTGCCTGAGCTGATGGTTTTCCATTACCCCCAGGCAGCTTCCCTCCACAGAGTCCAGAAAGAGGGTGGCGAAAGCAGTCAGGACACAGGGCCCAAAGATGCATCACTGAACTGCAATTTAACATCATGGAAAGCCCCCCACCCCCGACTCCTGCAAAAGAGGGACCTGCCTGTCTTTCCACCCAGAATCCTTCCTCCAGTTACAATGGGAGAGCGGCAATCATGACCACAATAGATCCACAGAGAGTGACTGAGACCCAGGCTATTAAAACATACCCCTGAGGCAATAAGGACAATGTGACATTTCTAAAATAGTTCTACTGCCATCAAATGCCAAATAAGTCTTTTCTGCTGCTCACTTTAATAAAGTTGGGAGGTATTCTTATGAACACAGACTCTGCCTCAAAGCCCTGGAAATGTCACTAGAATGAAAGCATGCTTGTTCGAAAGTGATGAACTAATGACTTATCCCTTAGGAGATGCTGGAGAACACGACCCAGCCATGGTCTCCAAAGCGCCCACACTGTAAGCGACCGTGAGGGAATGTCACATGTGAAGCAGCATCAGTGGACATGGGCCCATTCTGAGGATCCAGGATTTAGTATTCTGCCAACTGGGGGCTACAGATGGACCAGACAAGAAAAACAAGAAGAAGAGGTTGGGAACTTGAGGGACAGAGGCCACCATCCTCACAGAACGTGTGGCCATGAGGGGCACTGGGTCAGGGCTGCCGACAGAGCTAGGATAGCCTGCCTGGCTGCGACCTTTTCCGAGAGTCAATACTCTGCAGACAGCCCCGCACCTGTAGGACTTGTAGACAGCCCTCAGTCCTCACTTCCGGCCCAGCCCTCATTCCACTGGCACCTGCCTCTCCATACTCCAAACATATCCCAGATCTGTCGTGGCATCCGCCTTTCTCGATTGTCCCCATCTCAGTGAGGCATCATGCAGCTGTTCAGGACACAAACCTGGAGTTACCCTCAATTCCACCCTTCGGTCAACCATCACAGCCAGTTCCTCTCAGGAGCGTTCCTCCTGACTGCTGCTTTGCCTCTCAAATCTGTCACACCACTGCCCTCCACTGCCACCTGGACCCCTAAAACAGCCTCCCGACTGGCCACCTGTTCCCATTCTTTCGCTACAGCTGTACCATTATATGTGATGTTTACTTCTTCTCTATGCATGATCTTCTATCCACACTATGTAGGTTTCACTTACTTATAGTTGGAGTTTTTAAAAGACTGGAAATAAGGGAAATGATAAGAGAAATTTGAGATTTTAGTGGCTCATGACCTTACAAAAAAAACTTGCCAGTCAACCACCCCCCCCAACAAAAAACAAACAGAAAAGGCTAAGAAAGGAGTTTCTGGGATGGGCTTTCTGAAGGGCTCTCTGAGATGGGGTAGACGGGAACGGCAGGGTTGCCCATTCCCAAGAGCTGAGCACAACAGTCAAGGTGCAAACAGGCTGTACTTACCACTCAACGATCTCTGGGTGAAGAATGGTGTTGTTGACATTGAACCTATAGAGAGAAAAGAAATCAAGCCCATTAGTCTGATGGTCTACCATAGCCTAGCAAGAATGACCTCATTCCAGAAATATACATCATGACCAAGAGAGGGTCTTAAACTTTAACTACCTGACTCCCTGACCCACAGAAGACCTGCTGCTTACCTCCTGCAGCAGCATCCTGGGCTGTGTCCTCCAAGTGCAGTCAGTTGGAGGACAAGTTTTTTGGCTCTAAACCAACACCCCTCATCCCTACTAGGCAGACAACATAGCCTCTTCTGTCAAAAATTGCAACATATATATCTGAGTACCAAAAGGAAAGAAAGGAGAGACAGAAAAGAGCAGAAAGGACATTTGAAAAAAAATAATGCTGAAAACTTGGCCAATCTGGTGAAAAACATTAGTCTACATATCCATAAACCTCGATGAACTCCAAGTAGAAAAAATTCAGAGATACATACCTAGACACATTATAATAAAACTGTCAAAAGACAAATAGCATTTTGAAAAGAAAAGCAGATCTTATTAGATTTCCAATAAGATTAGTGGCTGATTTCTCATTTTAAAAAACTATAGAGAAGGTAGTGGGATGATATTTTCAAAGGGCTGAAAGGAAAAAAGAAATGTCAACCAAGAATTCCACACCCAGCAAAGCTACGCTTCAAAAAATTAAGGAAAATTAAAACATCCTAGATCAACAAAAACGGAGAGAATTCATTACTAGCACACCTGCCCTACAAGAAATACAAGGGAATCCTTCAGACTAAAATGACACTACAGAGTAACTTAAATCCACACGAAGAAACGAAAGGTAGTGGCAAAGGTAACCATACTGGCAAATATAAGTACAGTGTAAATGTATTTTTTTGTTTGTAACTCCCATTTCTCCTATCTGATTTAAAAGACAACTGCATAAGGCAATAATTATAAATCTGCATTGACAGTCCCCAAATACATAAAGGGTAAAGATGCAATCTATACGACATAATATCACAAAGGAGGGGAGGAAACGGAGACATATGGAACAAAGTTTTTGTATACTATTAAAATTAAGTTGACATTAACGCAAACTAGATTTTTATAAGTGTAAGGGTAAACTGTAATCCTCAGGGTACTCATCAAGAAAATAACTAAACCATACAGAAAAGATAATGAGAATAAAACCAAAGTGGTATATTACAAAACAAAAACAGTAATGAAGAAACCGAGGAACAAAGATTATATAAGGCATATAGAAAACTAATCTTTATATGGCAGAAGTCCTTCCTTATCAACAATCACTCTGTTTGTAAATAGATTAAATTCTCCAATTAAAAGGCAAGGATTGGTGGAATGGATTTTTTAAATGATCCAAATATATGCTCCAGAAACATGCTTTATATTCAAAAACACAAATAGATTAAAGTGAAAGGATACAAAAACATATATTATACAAACAGAAACCAAAGGGAGAAAGAATAGTTATACTAACAGATAAAATTATCTTTACTGAACATAAACATCATTGGTAAAAAATAAAGAAGACAAAGAATAGTAAATAGGCCAATCTATGAAGAAGATACAATTACAAACATACATGCACCTAACAAAAGAGCCCAAAAATATGAATTAAAAATAAACAGAAGAAACAGACAATTCAACAACAGTTAAAAATTTCAACATCTACTTTCAGTAATGAATAGAACTAAACAGAAGATCAATAACAACGGCAAAAATAGAAGACCTGAACTACACTACACCTATCTCTAGGTACTTTACCTACCAGCTGCAGAATACCCACTTTCTCAAGTGCATTCCAGGATAGACTATGTGTTAGGCCATAAAGCAAATAATAAATTGTAAAGAACTGAAATCATACTCAGTATGCCCTCTGACCATAATAAAATGAAATAGAAAATCAATAACAGAAGGAACACAGGAAACTTCACAAATATGTAGAAATTAAACAATACCCTCTTAAATAATCTTTAGGAAATTAAGAAATCACAAGAGAAACAAAAAAATATTGAGACAAATGAAAACAAAAATGCAACATATCAAAACTTACAGAAATTAAAAAGGGGACATTACTACTGACTTTATAGAAATAAAAAGAATTATGAAGGAATGTGATAAGTAACTGTATGGCAACAAATTGGTTAACCTATTTGAAATAAACAAATTCCTAAAGACATAAACTACCAAATTGATACAAGAAATAGAAAACCTAAATAGACCTTGAAAAGTAAAGAGATTAAATTAGTAAAAAAACAAAACAAACAAAAATTTCTCCCAAAGAAAAGCCCAGGACCAAATGTCTTCACTAGTGAATTCTACCAAAGGTTTAAAAGAGAATTAACACACATCCTTCATAAACTCTCACAAAATACTGAAGTGGAAGGAACACTTTTCAACTCAGTCAATGAGGTCAGTATTACCTTGATACTAAAACTAATCAATTATCACTATTATATATATCCAGAACTTTTTATCATCCCTTACTAAAATTCTGTACCCATTAAACAATAATTCCCCATTCCTCCTTCTCCCAGCTGCTGGTAACCACTGTTCTATTTTGTCACTATGAATTTGGCTATTTTTGGTATTTCATATAAATGAAAATTATACAATATTTGTCCTTGGTCAATTGACTTTTGACAAGGTGCCAAAACACCCTGACAAGATGTGCCGAATTAATCCAGTGGGAGAGAAGTCAGTCTTTTCAACAAATGGTGCTGGAACAATTGAACATCCACATGGAAAAGAATGAGGTTGGCTCCTTATCTAACACCATATACAAAAATTAACTCAAACTAGTTCAAATACCTAAATTTAAGAGCTAAAACTATAAAACTCTTAAAAGAAAACATAGGTATAGATCTTTATGGTCTTGGAGTAGGCAATGGCATCTTATATATAACACTTTAAGCACAAGCAATTGAAGAAAAGTAGAGAAAATGGACTTTCATGTATCAAAAACACTGTCAAGAAAGCAAAAAGACAACCCACACAATGGGAGAACATTTTTACAAATCATACAGATTTAGTAACCAGAATTTATAAAGAATTCTTACAACTCAACAGTTAAGAAGCAACCCAATTCAAAAATGGACAAAGGATCTGAACAGAAACTTTTCTAAATAAGATGTACAAATGGCCAAAGAGCACAAGGAAAGATGTTCAACATCATCAGTCATCAGGAAAATGCAATTAAAAACTACAATGAGTTATTACTTTACAACCATGTGAATAGCTATAATATAATAAGACAGATAACCAACGTTGACCAGGATTTAGAGAAACCAAAGCCCTAATACATTTCTGGTGAAAATGTGAATTGGTGCAGTTGTTCTGGAAAATAGTTTGGCAGTTCCTCTAAAAGTACAAGAGTTACCATATGACCCAGCAATTCCACTCTAGGGAATCAAAAAGATATGCTCACATGAAAACTTCTACATCAATGTTTATAGCAGCAATATCATAACAGACAAAAGGTGAAAGTAACACAAAGTGTCTACCAACAGATGAGTGGACAAATAAAATGTGGTGTCATTTTTTTGGGTCACTTTTTTTGTGGTGTCATTTTTTTGTGGTGTCATATTCATAGAAAAGAGTATCTGTCAGTCATAAAAATGAGCAAAGTATTGATTCATGCTACAATATGGATGAAACTTGAAAACATGCTAAGTGAAAGAAGCCAGACATAAAAGGTCACATATTAAATGACTCCATTTGTATCAAACATCAGTAGGCAAATCCATAGAGATAGAAAGTAGATTAGTGGTTGCTAGCGTCATGGGAATGGAGAAATGGAGACTGACTGCAAATAAGCACAGGATTTCTTTCTGAAAAATGAAAATGTTCTAGAATTGGTTGTACCATGGCTGTGCAACTCTGAAAACAGACAAAAACGAACGGTATACTTTAGAGGGGTAAATTGTAAGGTATGTAAATTATATCCCAATAAAACTGTTTTTTAAAACTTACTAAATTATGTACATATGAATTTCACTGTATGTAAATTTTATTTCAATAAAAGTGATTTATAAAAACTGACAAAACAGAAATAGATAAATCCACAAGCATAGTATGACGTTTTCACAAACTTCTAGTAGCAACAGAACAAGCAGAAACATTGGGAAAGATGTAGAATATATGGAAAAGAGAATCACCAACTTGATTTACTTGATATATACAAAGTACTACAGCCAACAATTGCAGAATACATACTCTAAGTGTCCATGAAATATTTATCATAATGATCATAGGTTAGAAGTTTCAACAAATTTTAAAGAGTTGAGATACAGAGTGTTCACTGATCACAGTAGAATTAAACTAGAAACCAGTAACAGAAGGGAAACTATAAAGTCCCAAGTTGTTTAGAAATTAAGCAACAGGTTTCTAAACACGCACTGTTCAAAAACAAAAATTACAATAAAATTTGAAAATAAAAATATGAAATATCACCTGTGAAATGCAGCTAAAGCAGTGCTTAGAAGAAAGTTTATAGCTCTAAATATTTACAGCAGAAAACAGTTAAAATCAATGATCTAAGCTTCTATCTTAAGAATGTCCCTTTCTTCCTTCTCAAGAAGCCAGAGAAAAAACAAAGAAAATCTAAAGAAACTAGAAGGAAATTTAAAAGAGCAGAACTCAATGAAATAAAAAATCAAACATATAAGAGAGAAAAATCTACAAAGCCAAAAGCCGTTCCTCGATAAAATGAACATAACTGAAAAGGTGGCCCCAGGAGACAAAAGGCTATCAGGGCACATCCCTGACACGAGAGCCACGTGTGACTCAGAGCTCAAGCTGGGAAAAAAGAACGTGCCCTTGCACAAATTACAGCCTCAGCAAGAGTCAACCCTCTAGATTCCAAGACATCCATCTCAGGCCAGGACACCATACACAAGCGTGTGTGGGGTTTTGACCTTCTATCCTCCTGTAAGCCAGGGCTCTCCAGGGCCTCATGAATGGTGTTGGAAAACGCCTATCTAATGCCATGGTTATGAAGAAATTTCCCTCTGCTTCCAG